CCCCCCAAACTGGTTCAGTGTCCATAGCACAGTGGTTACAGTGTCAGCCACATACATCCAGGCTGGAATGTTCAAACCTGGCCCGGGCTAGCTAACAATGACAATTGCAACAAAAAATAGTCAGGTGTTGTGGTGGGCACCTGTAGTCCCAGTTACTTCGGAGGCTGAGGCATAAGAATCACTAAAGCCCAAGAGTTGGAGGTTGCTGTGCCCTGTGATGCCATGGCACTCTACTGAGGGTGACATAGTGAGATTCTGTCTCAAAAATAAATGAATAAATAAATAAATAAGCCCTCAGAACTGAGCCAAAGGTGGTACACTCCAAGTGTATATAGGGAGTCAGTAGAAGCTCAAGTGGCAGGTTGAAAATGGTGGTTTATGAAGGTAAGTTCGTATTCCACAAAGAGCTATACATCTGAAATATAAATTTTTCACTGCAGCATCCTGCAATAAATGACTGCAAGGGGTACTGGTAATCCCACTGCAGGATCAAGTATAGTTTTCTTTCTGAGGGAGATTATAAAAAGTGGGACCTTAGGGTCTAGGAATTTCATGGACCATATGTTGTGCTGATTATGGTGATCTATGGGCAAAGCGTTACAGTGAAAACCCTGTAAGTAGGATCCATATCTGCTAATGGCAGGCATCTATCCTGCAGGAGATAACTTTATTGAATGAATGAATTAACTTTATTGAATGAATGAATTAGTGATCCTATCTAATCCAGGTCCTCCCAAGGACCTGGGACCTCCTAAGGATCTGCTGCTAGTTAGCTATGAATTAGTGGCAAATTAGTTAGCCGAAAAACTGGAATTCTGACTATGCAACTTATCATTTGGGTGACCTTGGACATCCTCTTCATGCCTCCCAAGGACCTGGATTAGATAGGATCTGCTGCTAGTTAGCTATGAATTAGTGATCCTAATGAATTGGTGATCCTATCTAATCCAGATCCTTGCTGCTAGTTAGCTATGTGTCTATCCTATCCAATCCAAATCCTTGCTGCTAGTTAGCTATGTGTCTGTAAAGATCTTTTTGTTGTTGTTGTTGCAGTTTGGCTGGGGCCAGGTTTGAACCCACCACCCTTAGTATATGGGGCCAGTGTCCTACTCACTGAGCCACAGGTGCCACCAAAATCTTTTTTGAGACACAGTCTCACTATGTCACCCTTGGTAGAGTGTTGTGGTGTCACAACTAACAGCAACCTCAAATTCCTGGGATTAAGTGATTTTCTTGCCTCAGCCTCCTAAGTAGCTGGGACTACAGGTGCCTACCACAACATCTGGCTATTCTTTTTGTTGCAGTTGTCATTGTTTAGCAGGCCCTGGCAGGGTTTGAACCTGCCAGCCCTGGTGTATGTGGGCCAGGGCCCTAACCACTGAACTACGGGTGCTGAGCCTCAATAAAAATCTTTAACCTAGTTTAGGCTCAGTTTCTTCATTTGTGAAAGAGGGAGAAGACTGAATTCACAGGATTTTAAATGGCAGCTTATGTGAAAATCTCTGATAGAAGGTGAACACAAAGTATATTCATTTCCTTCTGTTATTTTGAAATGAGATTATGGAACTTCCTTAAATAGGATTTCCCATTGGTCCTTCCCCCAGAGCTACCTGGTTTGAACTAGACAGAGCATACAGTGATATTTCCTTATTGCCATGTTCAGTCTTTTTTTTTTTTTTTTT